GGGGGGCGCGGCAATTTCGCTTCGATCGCGTTCTTTCGCCCGAATCCACCCAGGCGGAGGCCTTCGCCGCGGTCGAGCATCTCATCCCTCACGTCTTGGACGGCTACCACACCACCATCTTCGCCTACGGCCAGACGGGCAGCGGGAAAACGCACACGATGGAAGGGCTTTCCTACACCACCGATGACAAAAAACGAAAACGACGCCGACGAGGGAAGGAGTTCCCCTCGCCAAACCTCCAGACCCCTGCCAACCTGCACGGCATCATCCCACGCGCGATTCACGCGGTCTTCGCCAACGCGCACAAACGCCAGGTGGAGGGGGAAAAGCGCCCCTCACCCCATCCCACCGCCCCGAGGGAAAATTCCCCGCCGAAGGAAAACTTCACCTATTCAATCACGTGCAGTTATTATCAAATCTACAACGAAACCATCACCGACCTCCTACGCCCGCAGCGTAAGCCCAACGCGGGTCGACCCAGCGGTGCGGCGAATCTGGGCGGTAAGCCGGGCCCCCAGGACAAAGGCCTTCGCATTCGATGGCACCCTGACAACACCTTCCGCGTCGAAAATCTTTACCTCTACCGCTGTGAGACCCCGGAAGAGATGCGGGATGCGTTTTTCTCTGGAGTTCGCGAAAAAGTTGTCTGCAGCCACCTGCTAAATGAAAGCTCCTCGCGCTCGCACTGCATTTTCACCATTTACGTGGAATGCCAGCGCGCCCAAACCCGCGAGGTGGTGCGGCGCTCCGAGTTATCGCTGGTCGACCTCGCCGGGTCCGAGCGGCTTTCCATGCTCTCACGGGATCCCTCCCAGTCCTTTCTGAAGGAATCGATTGATATTAACACCTCCTTGCTCGCGCTGGGCAAGGTAATCACCTCGCTCGCGGAGGCGAGCAAGAAACGCGGCGCCGGCGAGGGCTCTGGGGAGGCACGCCGCGGCCAAGCGCACATTCCCTACCGCGATAGCAAACTCACCAAACTCCTCCAGCACGCCCTGGGCGGGAATTCCATTACGGTGATGATTGCCTGCATTAGCCGCTCCGATCGCTATATCGACGAGAGCATCTCGACGATGTTGTACACCGGGCGGGCGCGGAATATCGAGAACGTCCCGCACGTCAATCAGGACGCCGCCGCCACCCAACTCACCCAACTGCGCGGCCAGATCGCGTCGTTGAAGGAGGAGCTTCGCTACTATCGCGACCTCACGCTGGACCACCTCGCGCCGCTTTCGAATAAACCCCCCAACGCAAACGACCCCGACGCCGCAATCAACGAAGAGAGCGAGAAGGAAGCCCCGGGGGAGATGGATAAGCTGGCGACCTCGTTAATCGACGCGTGCGCGATGCTCCAGCAGATTATTAAGGTCAACCACCAACTGCGAAATGCGTACGATGAGGCCACAAAGGCCGTGGAGGCGGGCGAGCGGCGGGAGACGGAGCTGAACGCCGAGAATTTAGCCCTGCGCGAGCGTTTAGCCATGCTTGAATCAATCGCCCTGAACGAGGCTTTTCTCGACATCAAAACCGTCGAGGACGACTCCGAAGAAACCACCGGCGATGCGTTGGGGGCTGCGAAAAAGATCGAACACGCGAGGCAGGCGCCATCAAATCGGCCTTGTAATACTTACGAGCCGTATTGGGATTCAGCCGACAATGTCAGCGGGCCTGGCGGCAGCCTTTCTAGACTCAAATTTCCTCTGCTGGAGTCGAAAGCCGCCGCGGAAGGATGGTGTTCTCATAGAGAGGCACCCAAGACAAAACTGGGCTCGTCCCTGACAGATAACAATTCCATAAATGAAGTCAAATGTGCAAAGTTAGAGTTTAATAAACGCTATAAAGATATCAACGCTCCGGAGGACTTTTATTCCAAAGGAGAAAACATCATGACAAATAAATTAAACGAGGTGGCTACCTTTAGAATAAAGGATGCTGCCCACTATACACCAACCCGAAGTGATGAGGAACCACCGACGGTAACGACCTCGCTTGAAAATTATGAAACGAAACGAGGTAAGGACTTATTCGACAAGCCTTCGCATCTCTGTGAGGATGAGAAGGCATTAAAGGCTGACAAAAAGGCTATCAATCACGCTAGGAAAAAGGAAAAACGTCTCAAACGTGTGTTGGCGAAGAAATTAGAGGAATACGAAAACTTCTACCGTCCGCGCGCGTTTTTTGAACCCTATGGAAGTATCCCTACGGGAAGTTCTTCGACCGGACTTTCATCCGCTTCGCGTAATTCAACGAATCCATTACCGTCCCACAAGAATAAATTAAATCCCTCCATGCCATGGGGGCGAGATGATATAGCCGCCTGTAAGGCTATTAGAGAAACCAAAACAATTCTGCGTAAGGAATCCCCTGAAGTGAGCAAGGCGTTCATACCCAGATCCACATACTGCATGAGCTCCTACGGTGCGCTTGACTTCGGCGGCGAAAAGGAAGACGTCGAGAAATTTGAAGCCGAGCGGCAGGAATCTAAATCCAAGCTAATGGAGCTTCTTGCCCGTCGAGAAGAGCTGCAAACCGGCCTACAGAACGATATCTACGGCCGAGTTTTGCTTTCTGAAAAGGGAAAAATGCGCCCCAATGGTAAAGATGGAGGGGGTGAGAACTTTCCGATGAGTGCACTTCTCCATAAACTGGAGGTTCTTCCGACCCGAACCGCTGACAAGTCCCCATCCTCCCCGGCTGCCGAAGTCAGGCAGTCAGATGCTAAAATCCACTCAACCGGAAAGTATTACGCTAATGGTGACTCTTTATCGCCTTACGGGACTTGTGAATCCCTTCGGAGGCTGCCCAAATGTTCTAAAAAGTGCACTAGTAATAGCGTTGATCGCCTTTTAAAGTATTTGGACAGTGATAAAGTCTTGTGAGGACGCGCCGGAATAGTCGTCTGTGGCCACTCCGTTGAATGTACTATTATTCTTATGATGATGATGATGATTCTGGATTTCGCGATTTCGGCGCTTCCATCTCCTTCAAGGTTCTATCGATGTATACAAACCCCACGTGGCGGATCGATGTCGCCTCGAAGAGCAGTCCCCTGGACGGATGCCCCCTGTTAAAAAAGTCCACCTGACGCGGCTTCCAACCCCAAGCCGCCGTCCCCCCCCCCCCCATCTTTTTTTCTGATTGTCTTCTCCTTTTCCCCAGCGCTTTTCTTTCCAGTTTCGTCCTAAGGTATTCCTTTCTACACTTCCATATTTTATTCCCACCCCATGTCCAACCTCCAGAGCGCGTTTGCGGCCTTCGCCTCCTTCGGCGGGGGGTCCTCGACGGAGATGGACAACAGCCACTTCTCGAAGATGCTCAAGGAGTCCAAGATCATCGGCAAAGCCTTCACCGCGACCGACGCCGACCTGCTTTTCAACAAGATCAAACCCAGAGGGGAGCGGCGGGTGCGGTTTGAGGAGTTCACCGCGCGCGCGCTGCCCGAGCTCGCCGCGCGGCTGAAGAAAAGCGAGGAGGCGGTGGCCGCGATGATCGCGGGGGCCTCCCCGCAGGCCAACGCCACCCGCGCCGACGCCGTCAAATTCCACGACGACCGCTCGACCTACACCGGCGTCTACCGCGCGGGGGGGCCGACGAATGTCGATCGCGATTCGGGCTCCCTCGCCGGCGTCGTCGACCGCCGCGTGGAGACGGTCGACAACCGCGGGACGGTCCCTCGCCAGCGATAGGAAACTAACCGATGCGATCTATACGAAACAACCCCAGAGGGGATGAAAAAGCGCCTCCACGTGTCGTTTGTTTTGTTTTGTTTTATATATATCTATCTTTAATATTTTTCACCATTCGAGATGTAAATTAATTTAAGGAGGGCTTGAAACGACCTCGGAAGGAGAAGGAGACGGCGCGATCGCGATGGCAAAACACTCTCGGCTCCCTTAAAGGGGATTCCCGCTGCAGGGACACGTATAACTAATGACAAAATTTTGGGAAGGGGATTTAATCGTCGATTGCACGCACACGAACTAAAATAGTCTCCTTTTCCCCACTTCAAAGGCGACAAAAATTGAGTTGGGGAACATCCTTCGCAACATCACCACGTTTTTTTTGTCTTTATGGGATTTATTTTGATTTGATTCTAAATAGGAATCAGAATAAATACCATCAAAATGCTTTTCATTTTCCATTTGAATTCTAACAGAAATCTTTTCATTTTTTTTTATATATATAGTTATCACGGCGGTTCGAAATTAGGAAATAAAAAGTATATGATTCACTTTAATTATACGTCGATGGGTCCCTTTTTAACGCAAAAGGCGGTATTTCAATGATTTTCGTATATAAATGGTCTTTCACTGTTTCTATCTGATCCACCTCTTTGTTTTTAGGTAGAATAGATTTTTCAAGTTCTATAAAAAAACGTTAGTCTTCATAGTACAATTCTATTTACACGCACACAGTAAAATCTATTTTTATATAGGTGTATGTATGCGAAAGGTTATTTAGGCATATCAAACAATTTTTATTCTTGAATTTTGAAGAAGTTGAACATTTTTTTTGTCATCACTATTTATTTTCCCATTTTCGCATCCTTTTGGTCATTACAAAAAGGTTCATTTGAAATTCAAAGTTAGTACTCTTTCAGAAAAACAACCCTTCACGTGTGAAAGCCCTTGTGAAGCTTCAGAATTTATTTGTAGTACCTTTTGATAGTTTTTACGTTTCGCTTACAAACTTCCTGATATTACTTTATATTCAGCCTAGGTCCCTCTCCTCCTCTCTTCCCCTCTCCCTCCCCCTCCACACACACACACACACACACAACAAAAAATTGGTTAAATAAAGCGGCAAGGCAAACACCTTTCTCTCTCTCTCTCTTTCTATATATATATATATATATGTATATATATATACGTACATCTATATTATTTTACTTCAT